ATGGACGTTTTCATCCATTAAAATTTCAGGTTTTGTTTGACTGGGCTATATCCACTTGTAACATGATATGGAAAAATCATAAGTGAAGGGTATGTTTGTTTTTGGTTTTTTTTTTGTTTTTTTTTCAAAAAATATATTCATGAGAACTTAAAATTAAAAAATTGTAAAATAATGTCTTTGTTTTACTATTTCTGAAAACTATCTTACAGTTATATTTAAACAATGAGTAATGCTACTATGGGATTGCCCTCTTGAGAATATCCAAGAACTCTTTCTTTGAAGGGTAGGATCAAACATTTTAGAGATTGGTTTAAAAGGATATCCCGTAAAATAGGTAAGGTTTGTATAGGGACCGACCCAAGAAATTGGGGGAAAACACTTCTAGAATTTCACAGTTATATAACTGTAATATGAAAAAATTTCTCAGTAAGTCTGTTAAGTAAAAAATAAAATATAAAAAGGTATAGCTTAATAATTTTTGTTACATATCTAGCTATAATTGGCCAGAATTATGTAGTTTAATAATTTTTTTTTTTTGAAATTTCTCTCTTTGTCATGCTCTTCTCTTTTGATTTTTGATTTTCGCTTATTAAAAACTCAACTAAACATACTTGAAATGTCTCAAAAATCAATTTGCAAATGGACGGTTCTGATTTAGTGGCCCACCTATCTTGAACAATAGAAAATAAAACTTAATCCGGCTGAAGAAATAAAGTAAAGGGACTAGCAGAGTCTGTCTATCTGTGATGGATGAAAATCACATGGACACAAAGTAGAGAGAGAGAGTGTGTGTGACGTCAAGCTAAGAAGGCACATCACATGGGATCAGTTTTAATCTTAACAAACATATCACAGAAGCTTCAGGACATGTGGGGGAGAAGATTCATCTCTTTTCATATATATATATATATTTGATTTATACACGTATATGAATATATATAAATATATAATAGACATAGTATGAGCAGCTAAGCAGGGGCTAAGAACATGGATCCCCTATTGAAATGGGGTATCCCATCAGCTTCCAACTAATAGTGTCATGTGATGTGAGAGTAGCTTGTCTTTGGCCAATACATATATAAGATCAGTACATTTTAGGACCCCACGCAAAGTGGGGCCCATATCATTACCGATCCAAGGATGATGGGTCCCAGCAACTTTCTTTTTTATTGTACTATGTGTATGTTGTAGTAGATTACTAGATACATCCCATTGTAGTAGAATAAAGCAACTAATGATTTCCCATCAAAAGTTGCTCTTGACAAGTACTACTAATATAAAAACGAGTTTCCACCAAAACCCTCACTCCCTCTCATGCATTTACTACATATATGTGTATATATATATATATATATGTATTGCATGTATGTATGTTCGTGGCTAACATCAGTTGCTTGGGGACAAAACTTTCAGCTGGTTTTTATCTTTCTATGGATCCTATGTCTTTTCTCATTTTATGTTAAGATGTAAAAAGTTGGAATTTATGAGACTGCTCGAGTAAAAACAGTAAAGCTTAGATCTTTCTTATGAAGCTTGATTATAATATATTAAGAGTAATACTACACGAAATTCCTATTCCTAATTCTACAATCTTCAATAAGGTAGGTCAGATTTACACATGTCATTATCTTATTTAACTTCATCACTTATAAATTCAGTTATCACAACTACTTAGAAAGAATGTGAATATGTGAACGAGTGAATTTCTTGTTAAGATAAAAATTAATAATAACAAAAAAAACAAAAATTAAGCGGTAAAGTTGAATAAAATGATAACGTGACTGAATCTCAACTGCAGAATTGAGAAATACGAAATTCGATAGAGCGATTGGACAAGATCATGAGAATCCATTCCCCTCCAATAAAGTTCCTCCGAAATGCATTTACGTGAGTCCCAAACAGATCACACTTAAATATAAAGTCCTTTTCAAATCCCGATAACCAAACTTGCCCTAATTTATTTATTATTATTTTTTTCTTAAAGGTATTTGCCCTAACTTATTCTTCCCATGACACGTGCATTGGTTGGATTATAGATGTAGGCGAAGAACAAGAAATGAAAGAAAAAAATGGGCAAGGTGTTTGACGTGCTTGTGAATTGAGGATATTTTGGGCTTGCTTGGTGTGTAATTTTGAAAACAGTTTTAAAAAATTCAGAGAATAAAAAATTGTTCTCAGAGAGAATGATTTACTTAGTTTGTAATTCTGAAAACAGTTTTTAAGGATTCAAAGAATAAAAAATAGTTTTCAGAGAATAATAAAATATAGTTCTCTGAAAACAGGTCGTTTTATTACTGAGTTTTCAGAAAATAGTTTTCAAAAAACTGAACCAAATAGAGTTTTTTGTACAGTTTTCTATTTTCAGTTTTCTGTTTACAAACCAAACAGACTCCAATCTTTTATAGTTATCTGGAAATAAGTATTTTTATGACTGAGTTTTAAGAAAATAGTTTTCAAAAAACTGAACCAAACAGAGATTTTTGTAATGTTTTCTATTTTTAATTTTTTGAGAATATAAAATTGTTTTTATAGTTACAAATTAAGTATACACTTTATTTTCACTATTTCTTAGTCACGTGATCACGCAGATATGTAACATGGTATATAGACATGTAACATAGTGTGTGTGTGTGTATATATATATATATAGATATTGTGTGGCAGTTGATATGTCCTTGTGTGGGTTGATAAGGACCCTAAATCAATCTTCTTGACCATTATGGTACAAGGGCATGTCAATTACCAACTCAAGTAACAATAATAGTAGGCAATAAATTTACCTTTGCTTAGCATATTGTTTAAGGGCCATGTACCAATTCATCTTGAAATTCTTTGTTTCTTATCTTCTTGAATCCCATTAAAATATTTACCAGGTGAACAACATTTGTTTTTCCAATACATCCTATTTTAGGGATTTTGCAAGAAATTCTTGTATTTTACAAGTTTTTGTAAGTTTTTTTCTCACCATTGTTTTGAAGATGTTACAGGATACGTATCCTTCGAAGGAGACAAATTGTATCATTTTCAATAATTGAGGGGGACAAATTGCAATGTAAAGAACAAGTTACAAAAACTTATATGGTACGCTCTCTTCTTTTAAGTGGTAAAAGTTGAATTTATAAAAAATAGAGAGCTTTTTCATATTAATAATATCCTCTTCTTCTTCTTTATTAATTAATTTATTTTTTTTGAAAAAAAAACTTTGCAAGAACAACCTACAGTACAAATGAGAAAGATATTACCGTTACTTTCAGCAAATATGCACTCTTAAGATGAAAGTTTGATTAGTTGGTTACTTTATGAGCGACCTCATTGTCATGTCGGAAGACATGACTATTAGATCGAGGCCAAGATAATTAAAGCTCTGCAAAGCGGACTAAATAATATCAGAAATTAAAATTGTACCTACTAACCTAATCCCTCCTCCCATCAACATAGGATACCCATGTGAAATTGTCAAACATAAAGTAGATGTATTGAATTTCAAGTTCAAATGTTCTAGATCTAACATGGACAATTACCTAGAAAACGTATGAGAAAAACGTCGCAAATCAGAAATCGAGATAAAAATAACCAAGTAATTTTAATTTGAGGAGTTATATTCAAAGTGAATAGTTTGATCACATAGTCTGACGTAATTAATTATTACCGTCAAATATCTTAAAGTGAGTCTTACTAGAGTCCTTCTTCAATTTAGAAAATATTTTCGTGCTTTTGGACCTTCAATTTTTTTATTTTAATGAATTAACACTATTTCAGCTTCAAAAGAAAGTAACTAGGAGCTAGATTATAGAAAATAAAGTCACATTCTAGAAAATGTGATATGGGCTTAATTATAATTTATGATCTTAGGTGGTGGCAATTGCATGCATCATGGAAAGCATACTGTGGCTTATGTATAGAATCTATGGATTAGTACTTTGAAAGGGAAGGGAAGGAAAGGAAAGGGTGGAGAGAAAAAGAGTGACAAATGAGAGAGGAAAAACAGAGGAAAGAGGGGGAGGAAAAGACACATGTGTTAAAGGCCAATCCATCTGGAAGGTGTGGCAGTAGAAGAACAGTGGGCTTGAGATGGACATTTGGGGGCGCAAAGACAAAAATGACCAGCTTGGTAGGGCTAACAAAGAGGGTGATTGGGCTTTTCAAAATCTCTCTCTCTCTCCAAACACACACACACACACACACACTCTCTGCTTGAGAGGATAATGGATTAGAAAGGGCTTCGTCCTGTTGCACGATACCTGTTGGTGGGTTAGGTGGCAACCCCTGCCCCTCTTATAGGACCCACCCCTAGATTCCTGCCCCTTCTCTCTCTCTCTCTCTCTCTCTCTCTCTCTCTCTCTCTCACGCGCGCACACATTTATACATAAAAATCTATAAGACCTAAAGATAAAACCAAACTCATTTCTCTTTTTTCGTAAGTAACCTCTTCTACACAAAAACTAATAATCTAATACTATGCCAACATAAAATACAACAAATCCCAAGTCTCTTTTTTCCAAGTGTATAAGTCTTGCACTCTCTTAAAAACACCCAACACATCTAAAAGGCTCTAAATTATGTTTTTATAAATCACAATGTGCTTTCAATTTTACTTGAAGTCACCCACTTGTCATATAACAAGCATATATTAATATAATAAAAATCCTATTTTATTTCATTTGGCAAAGGAATCAATCTAGCTAGCTATATATCACAAGTGTTTGCTTCCACCCTAAAAAAAAATTATATTTAAAGACAACTGCCCAATTAAAAAAATGCACTACTCTGTGTCGCTTAAGGGGAAAAAAGACGAAAAGTGTGAAAATATATATTATTGAGATATTTGTCTATGTAAATTAAGAAATCACAAAACATATCCTTTTAATGGTAAAAAAGTGAAATTGATATGAAAAATCCACAGAAAAAGACCTCTCTATCTATAAATATATATATAATATTCCTTTTCTTGGAGCTAATGAGGTGTATAGGTTATATATCCATCACAGCATTAATGTTTTCATCTCTTTTCAATTGAAGAAAGTCTAATTTAATTTTCTCTTTACCTTAACAAATAAAAATATGTGATATATTAAGTCTCCCTATTCCTCCTTTCACACACTAAACCTGTTCACCTCTGAGTCTGCATTTCTCTCTCTCTCTCTCTCTTTCTCAACATGAGAATCAGAGCAGAACCACGGTTTATAGAATATTGGTGGCACAAGTCTAGGTCATGACTTACATTGAAATGGCCTTCTTCCCAACCAATTTCATGCTACAAACTCCTCATGAAGATGATCATCATCATCAACCTCCTACCTCTCTCACCCCAATTCTCCCCCCTTGCTCTTCTCAAGACTTCAATGGTACTCTTTCTCTCTCTCTCTCCCTATATATATATATATGCACACAAACACATATACTTCGGCTCTAAATCGGAAACAACCTCTCTATGTGAAGGTAAGGCTATGTACATGCATCTGCATCTGGTATTCCTAGACCTTGTAACGGCGGGAGGGTCGTGCACTCGTGAAATGGACTAGCCCTCTCTCTCTATATATATACTCATCTATCTCTTACTAGTAATTAGGATTGAAATGTTGATGGTGTTGCAGGTGTTGCTTCACTACTAGGGAAGAGATCCATGTCATTTTCAGTGATGGATGTTTGTGATCAAGAAACTAATGGGGATGATGATTTGTCTGATGATGGATCACAAATGGGAGAAAAGAAGAGGAGGCTAAACATGGAACAAGTGAAGACACTTGAGAAGAACTTTGAGTTGGGCAACAAGCTTGAGCCTGAGAGGAAAATGCAGTTGGCTAGGGCTCTTGGTCTGCAACCAAGACAGATTGCTATATGGTTCCAGAACAGGAGGGCAAGGTGGAAAACCAAGCAATTGGAGAAAGACTATGAAGTCCTCAAGAGACAGTTTGAAGCTATCAAAGCTGATAATGATGCACTCCAAGCTCAGAACCAAAAACTCCATGCAGAGGTATATATATATATATATATGTTCTAATAAGTACTTATGTGCATCCCTATGTTCAATTTGATACCTTAGGAAGATGTGTGGGTGTATAAACATATATTTAAATATTTGTATTTATGTATGTATATATAACCCTAAATTTCTTTACATGGAATTGTTATAATTATGAAGTGTATAAGTTGGGAGAATGATGAAGCTTTTTTTCCCTTTTTTGTTGTCAAATTGATAGAACTATGACTCTGGACTTTCTGTCGGATCATGGTTTTCAGTGAAACTTGTATCTGATTAGATATCTCTTGAACCAATGGAGGATATCAAGAAGCATCTTTTCCAATTCCTTTTCTTTTATTTTCCTTTTTTTCCCTCTTAAGTTTTAAAGCTAAAAAGTGATCATGACTAAAACAAATAAATTTCTCTCATGCACATATTTGAACTATTTTAAAAAAAAAAATCTAGTTGGACATAGTTATCATCAATAGTATTTTACTTCTTTAAAATATATTTTCAGTTGACAATAGAGAATGTGTTTACTATATATATGTGTGTGTGTGTTTGATACTGATTAATTGAATGGATGCAGATTTTGGCACTTAAAGGTAGAGAGCCAACTGAATCAATCAACCTGAACAAAGAAACTGAGGGTTCTTGCAGTAACAGAAGTGAAAACAGCTCTGATGTCAAGCTAGATATCTCAAGAACACCACCTAGTCATGACAGTCCTCTATCTACCAATCCAACAACAAGCAGACCTCTCTTTCCATCATCAATTAGGCCTATAGCTAGTACTGGTGGTGTTGCACAACTCTTCCAAAACCCTTCAAGACCAGACCTCCAATGCCAAAAGATTGATCAAATTGTCAAGGAAGAGAGCTTTTCCAACATGTTCTGCGGTATTGACGATCAACCGGGGTTTTGGCCATGGTTGGAGCAACAACATTTCAATTGAATTGAACCCCAATTCATCATGGCGTAAATGGAATTTGGCACCATGCCAAAAGAGACTAAACACTTTCTATGACTTTAAAATTCATGTTTTGGTACTTGGACTTGGTGTATAAATTAAGTAGCATGCATAATCTTTTATGTTGAAATTAAGGTGTCTTTTGCAGATCATTGTGGAGGAATAAAAAGAGTATGTGTCTTTGCATTTATATACAATGTTTTCTCAAACTGAATTGAGATTGTTTGTTAGGTTGGTTCATTCAAAAACAAAAACAAAAAAACAAAAAATCCAAAGTTTTTTATATTTGCTATTGACTGATTTCAGCTCTAGCATGGGCCATGAAATAAAGGGTTTGTGTCCTTTTGAATTTTTTTTCTTTCTTTCTTTTCCCTTTTCTTGTTATGGAATCATGTCATTGTACCACTCAACAAAAATGCTCACAAAGTGCTCCAAAAAATAAAGTCCATGAAATGAAATTTGCTGATTTCATCAATCAATTTTGGCAGTAGTAACAACTGGTGAACAAAAGCTACCTGAATTTAATTAATATGGTATGAGTTTTGAGGAGGGAGGGAGGGAGGGAGAGAGAAAGGGAGGGAGAGAATCAAACACACATTCCAAGAGTGAAAGAGGACAAAGAGATGGAATGGTACAAGAGGACAAGAAGGGTTGGAAATGGTCATTCTCGTGAAGAGGACTTGGGCAAGCTTGTGCTGACAAGGAATGGGTATTGCATCAAAATATATGTAGTGTTACCCACCACTTTTTGGCACTCAGGTAAAGTTCACTGCTCTTTCTCTCTCACACAGTACTCACACACACACTGATAGCTAGAAGAAAGGAATTCATGTGACCCACTGTCACCCACTCCTTAGCATCCAACACAGTCCTCTTTTCACCTTTCTTGCTATGTTTGGCCCCACCCTTTCATACATCTCCTTTTCTTTCCATTAATTGTCACTAAAGTCCACATTGAACAGAAAAGGTATTTGATTCCACAGTTTCTTCGACAGAAACAAATATATTGTTAATTGGGTCTTTTTCTGTGTGATCAGATTGAACTTGAAAAAAAAGCTATAGGCAAAAGATGCACAATCATGTATATTGTATAGCCTAGCAAAAGAGTGAAATTCATACCAAAATTGTTTTGGGGTAATTATATAAAGAAAAAAGATTTAGGTAATTTAACAAACAAAAAAAAAAAAAAGAAGAAGAAAGATTCATGGCTTGTTTGGTTCAGATTTTCTAAAACAGCTTTCAACAATTAAAAAACAAAGAGCAATGATACACATCATAAAATTATTTTGTGATTTATATGAAGAATCCAAAAATGGCACCCTTTTTTTGTATTGTTATTCGCTTCAAACTCCATTTATCAAATTTCTACTTCTCACGGGTAATTATCTTACCTTTTGATACAGGAATTTTGTTGGGGTTTACCCATGTTATACACATTATAACTAGAGACAGACCTAAAACATTAGGTGAGGGGGTAAGAATCCCCTTGCATGTAGGTCCAGTTATAACAAAGACGTAACCCCAAGCGGTGAAAAAACTCTCATCTTTTGGAGATTGTTACAGATAATTACTTACAATGTATTTTGAAAGGATTATAACTCTAGTTTAAGATGAAAACTTTTATTATATTTAAAAGGACAAGTCGTGTGGACAACGGTGAAATTATGAGACTTCATATTTTCGTTGTGAGAGATTAGATACAAAAGGGTTGAGGATGTTGAGTGATATATATCTTTGTGTGTAATTTCTATTATTTTGTAAGATTTTACAATGTTGAGTGAAAATCTTATTTTTCATGGACGTAGGGCGTGTATTTACTGAACCACGTATATCTCATGTGTTATGTATTCCACGTGTTTTGCTTATGCAAATGGTTGGTTATTTGTTGTGGGTAATTGTTTATTTCTCAACAATTGGTATCAAAGCCACAGGCTTACACACAAGCTGTTTGATATAAAAAATTCTTTATCTAGATTTTTTTTTCATAATACTGGTGTTGTTTATCTTGAGCACTTGTGACAATCATGTATAAAGGAAACATTGAAGATGGAGGATGAACTCTCTTGTCTAATGATAAGAGGAGGCACCATGGATCTAACAACAGCAGGTCTAGATCAATTGGACGAAAGAGCAAACAGTGCCATAGATGCCGTGAATGAGACCACATCAGAAAGGACTGTACGTCCACATGGAAAGGGAAAGGAAGATGGAAGCAAGAATGATGCATCTATCACGTGCATGTACTTCAAACAAAGACTTTGGAGATGTTCTCATAATTTCCAAAGGTAATACTCTTACTCGACATGACTAGATATTATATTCGGGCTCTACGAACCATATTTGCTCAATGAAAAAAATATTTTGATTCATTTCAAGAACTCGAGAATGGTTCTTTGATTATGCCCAATGGTGATAAGTGTATTATGTATGGTGTGGGAACGGTAAAAATCAAAAGATTCGATGGAGTGAAAAAACATTTTGGGGGACGTTGCCTACGTGCCAAAGTTGCTATCTAATTTGATATCCTTGAGCCGATAGGATTCCATATATAGATTGCAAGTGCTCCATTACAGGGGGAGTCCTAAAAATTACTAAAGGTTGCATGGTGTTGGTGTGAGGAGAAGAGAGTGGTGGATTATATCATTTGGTGAAGGGTACCAATTGTACTTGGATTTCGATTGCTGATTAGAAACAGGCATGTGAAAGGTGTTTCCAGACAAATGATGATGAGTTGAAAATTCTTGATTGTGAAGGAGTCTTATCGAGGTCCCTTTTCAGGAGAAAATTATTGAATACCCCGGGGGTACATACCCCAGGGGAATACCAACCCTTGGATGTGGTGGGGCCCACCACCACATCCATAATCCAATGGCTCTCACTACCCCGGGGTACCATACCCCCAGGGTATTCAATAATCTCTCTCTTTCAGGGTCATTTGATCGTGTTGACTTAGTTTAGACGCATGTATGCATTGGCCATGGAATCAAGGCAAAATTTGGGCTTGGTTCAAGTTATGTGTAACTGATATACGAAAGGCCAATGCACCGCTTGTGGATTTGCAAGTAAGAGTCTCATGCATTGAGACTTGTGAATTAATTCTAGTGAAAGGGCTTGGGTCCTGTGGGTGTGCTCAGTGATTTCTCTTTGTCATGCGTGAGGGAGAGATTGTTGAGGTCCACCCACGTTATAATAGATATAACCCAAGGCAGTGAAAATACTCTTATCTTTTGGAGATTGTTAAATATGATTACTTTTAATGTATTTTGAAAGGGTTATAACTCTTGTTTTGGAGATTGTTAGATAGGATTATTTTCAATGTAGTTTGAAAGAGTTATAACTCGTGTTTAAGAGGATTACTTTTATTGTATTTAAAAGGACACAATGTGAGATTAATTGAGATTTTAAAAAATCTTATGAGTGATTGAATACAAAAGAGTTAAAGATGTTGAGTGATGACTGTGTGTAATCCTCTATTATTTCTTACTATAATTAAAATTGGATCAAACAAGCCTTGAAATCACTGAGTGATAGTTTAAAAATATATCTGCTTGCCTTGTGATAGGGCACAATGGAAGTGAACATCTACCAATTAAAATATTCAACTGGCATTTTGATATGAAACAAAATGGGAATCATTGTTTCAATCATTTTGATTGAACAAGTAGACTCCTTACTGCATTAGTTTGATGATGAACTTTTTGGTCAATTGGAAGTTTACCATTTTCTTTTCAAACACACACATATATATATATATATATAAAGCTGTGCACCACTAACAATGTCAAAAGTGAGATACAGTTAACCTAAGTACGTTGGGAAGGCTAACTCAATTGAGATTAATTTTTAAGAAAAAAAGTCAAATTTCAGGGGTTTCAAAAGTAGTCAAGCATATTGAAATATATAAAGTGTAAAGTAGTTGAAGTTTCTGAATTCAAGAGAGTTCGCATTATTAACTTTCAAAATTCTATTTTCAAAAATAATTTAGAAATGTTCATCGAAAAACGATATCTCATTTTCAATTTATTTTTAAAGATCCAGACAGAAACAATATTTGAATATGCTGCAAAATAATTTAGATCGAAACAATATATTCTCACTCAAAGAAAATCAAAGTCTACCAAAGACACACACATACACACACACACACACACATATATATATATATGAAGAGAGAGATTTGAAAATTTAATCTAGCCTCACAATCTTTTGAGTAGCATTCTTAGATTTCACAGTTGCTTGTAATAACTGTAATAACAGATTCAAATTCTCTAATAAAACCCAATAATAAACAAAAAATTAAGCATGTGAGAAAATCTTGCAAGGCCTTGTTTGGATATCTCCAAATCAGAGTTGACAGACAAAGAAAGCAATATCAACCCACATTAATCGCACATTAAGTATATTCTATATCTCGGATCATGTGAAGAGGGTATCAATAAACTTTGGCATTTGATTATAATAATACTTTAAATATTATATGTATTAGTGGCAAAATTAAATAATTATTAATCAAGTAGAGCCTATTAAGTGACCCACGTGAATAGTGATTTTATACCTTAAATAAGCAATTTATCAGAATAAATATTTTGGATTTGCGATAATCCATGAGAGAGAATTCTATCCATGTTCGTGATTATTATTATATACATAATTAATTAATGAAGAGGGCATATTTGTGGTGGGCAACAACATGGATGGTTTTACGTTATTGCATTTTTTAATTTCTGAAATAGCTAGCTGCAATGTAACACACACATATATATATATATTGGCTTCCGTCAACGGGTAATATATATATATATATATAGTATCAATAAAAATTACTCGGAAAGGTGATGTATAAAATTAATTTAATGGAAGAAACATTTTCATCTTACTTCGAGGTTTCTACTGTAAGTACCTTTTAAACAGTGCATTTGGTGACAACACAATGTGTTTGCTCCAAATCATGCCCAAATTAACTACGTTGTTTGGAAAGTCCTTGATTGTTGGAACTATGCGCCCACCTCTCACACACACGCTTCTCTCTATATTTGTGCCATGTGAAAATGGATAAATTTCTAATTACACAAATAGTGGGGTAGTAAAATTTGTGAATACACCGAGAAAGTATAGAATATCTACCCGGTGCCCGATCGATGGACCGTTATTGAAAATTTTAATTTGTCTTGATTATAGAGAAATGAAATTTTTTTAAGAAAAAAATGTAACTGTTCATTGTCAGAGGCTATCACGTAGAAAACATACTCTGAGTATTGTATATTTTCTTGAATATAGTCTCTAATTATATGCTCTCGCCTCGCCCTTCTTTTATATTTTCGAGCGAAATAAGAATTTAATAAAATATTCAATTCTACTAATCTTACTCTATCTCACGTTGCTTGACAGAAAAATTTCTGACAGTTACAAGAGAGATGCCTCCAAAGTGTTTTGAAAATTTTGAACAGGGAGACTCGGAGGGGGGTGCCCACAAGAGTCATGCCCACTGAATCCCAAAAGAGTGTCACAATTCTTTGAAAATGATTGCTTTTCTTTTATTCTTTTACCAAGATTATATATATATATATATATATATAAATATATATATAGTACAAGGGAAAAACAACTTAAAAGGGAAAAAGAAAAAGGAAAAAGGGCTTGATTGCTTCATTATAAAGAGATGGAAAAGTTTGAGAGAAAAGGAAAAAGTACACAAAAACAACTTATATAAAAATAAAAGTTCATGCGCGAAGCTAAGAGGGATGGACGTGACATAAGTAGGGAAGGAGGGTGTTAATTCCTTCTTTTATTTGATTGATTACTATCAAGTGTTGTAAGTCACGGTTTCTAAAATAGAACATCTATTTTATAATTATATCTTCTACATGTATATAATTTTATGAACTTTTAAAGAGTTAGGTATTTTCAATTTTATCTAGCAAACATTTTTATTTTCTTTCTTCTCTTGCTATCGGACAAAAACAACGATTAAATCAATCCTACTAACCCTTAATATTGTCCAATCACAAATGTACACATATTCAGTAATTACAAAATTGTAATAAATAAGAATAATAATTTTTTTTTGGCATACAATTAGTTATCCTTTCATATTTTTATATTTATTACTTTTTTGATTTTGTAATTATACATTTGTGATTGGATTACATCAAGGTACTGTATTGTCCAAAACAAAGTGGTGGATTAAGAAAAGGAAAATGCTTTCATCCCTTCTTAAATCATTTCCTTTGTTTCTCTCGCATCTACTAAACCTGAAAGCTTGCTACATCCCTCTTGTCTTTATCATTTTCTTTCCTCTTACCAAACACAGACTTGGATGTTTTTGCAAAAAATAAAATAAAATAAAATAAAAAATCTGACAAGTGGGCTCCTCAATTGGGCCATATCAACTTCTTCTACATATAAATATATATACTATTGTCTATAATTTGGATCTAGGCCCAATCCACATGCCACACAAAGTATTAGGTCCAAGCCTAATCTAACCAAAATATATTGGACTTTTGGATTGATTTTGTCGTCTAGTTTTTTTAGCAGAAGAATTATTTCATGCTATCTTGTTTGGTTCAAGTTGCTATAGATGGATCCAACACAGTCCAAAGAAAACTCCATATTTTTTAAAAGAAAACCAATTTTTTATTTTTTATTTTTTATTTTTTTGAAAGCTAAAGCAAATTTTTTCAAAAAGATAGAATGTACAGAAATGATGTCATTTTTACTTCTTTTTCCTTCTCAATCGAAATGCATTTCATGTCGATTTGTTCATTTTTGAACTGATGATGAATTCATTAAACTCGTATCGAACTAACTTTTATTGTATTTATGAGTAAGTAACTCAACTCATGATTTTGCGAAACAAATTGTTTTAAAATTTTTATTATGTCATATTACTTTATTATAGTATTGTCGTACTTTTAATTTATATCGTATTGCTTTATTATAGAGTTGTTGTACTTTTAATTTATGTAAAATTGGCACATTACTTTTTACACTTACTTGAGTTACTTACTTAAAAGCTCAATTTATTAACGTGGCTCAATCCCTTTAGTCGAGATCAAAATTTTCTCCAATATAGTTTTTATTAGTAGATTATAAAATGGTATAAAATTCACTTTGAAGCAAATGATAATAAATTTTAAATTTCATCCATTTCACAACATTATAGGAACTCAAGTTATCATTAACACTGATGAACTTCACTAAACGAATACAATCGTGAATTTCAGTATAATAAAAAATTTCAAAGTACTCACTAAGTTAAGTTTAAACTTCACTCATTTAGTTAATAAATAAATCAAACTTAAACATTAGAAGTGAAGGATTTTAAAAAGAATGGATTTAATTTAATTATTTTGAAAATAGAGCTAAAAAGTTTATGATTTTACTTGGATTAAAGTTTTAAAATAATATGGTCTAAGCGACAAAGAATTATAATCAAACTTGTCATGAGACTTCAAGCATTAGCTCACTTTTGAGTTCAAATTCAATGATCAATATATTTTATTTAAGTTGAAATTCAATAATCCAAAAAATCCATTTTATGTGGTTTTTCTTCCACCAAACAATTGGCCAAGAAGCTGCCACGTGCTCTCTCCTCTCCCCTCCATCCACCGGAATTTCGAACCAAAACCCCAAATCTCTTCAACTACCTCCACCACTTTCTCTCCCCAACGGATAGATAATAAAACCATGGCCGCCACGTCCTCCACCTCCGCCCCAATCCCAATCCTCTCACCCCCCACCTCTCTCACCCACCATCACCAAACCCTCCAATTTCCCTCCACTTCCTTCCCCAAGCACCCCCTAAAATCCCTCCGACCCACCACCAAACTCCACGTCTCCTCTCCCACCGGAAAACCCATCACCGCCGCCACCGCCGCCAAACCCACCGAAGAAGTCGTGTTCTTCGACGGCGGAGCCCACTATGGCGACCTCATCGCCAACCTCCTCCTGGGTTTCACTCTTGTCTGGTTACCGCTCACTCTAGCAGCAGTTTTGAGGGGTTTCTTTCTTAGATACAGGTTTACAAATTTGAGGGTCACTGTGATTTCTGGACTTACTGGTCAGGACCGGAGTGATTTTTCTTACAAAGTGATAAAAAATGTTCAGGTGGTGCCTAGGTTTATTGGTGAATGGGGGGATATAGTTATCACTTTGAAGGATGGGACTAAGGTGGACTTGAGAAGTGTTCCGAAATTTAGGGAAATTGCTAAGTATTGCCTCTCCATGGCTGAGAAGCCTGTGGTTTTGAATGAAAGTGGGCCAAAAGGGTTTTGAGGGTCTCATTTGGTTCAATTCATTGCTCTCTTTTCCAAAGAGGTATGTAAATTTTTTTCTTTTTATTTTGTTAATGTAGCGGAATATGAATTCGGTTGTGTTCTTATAGCTTTTGTTTTGAGGATAATTTATGGGGAAAATTGTTCATAATGTTTCATAATTTTAGTTCTTTTATATGCATTTGGGTTTATCTATAATATGGGATTTTTTTTGTTGTTGTATTAATCAATTTCATAATCCTCAAGATTGAGAATATATCATGTCTTGGTGAAAAAGAGGAATGGGTATAGCTACAAATCAGTATAATTAAAGTTGATGCATGTTTTTTTAGTGGTTAGAAGAATGGTAATCCGAACTTTTGGCTTGAATGAATGTTTACTATAGTTAATGAGCATGGCTTCGGATATTAATGATGTAATGGTTACACTTTAAAATCAAAGAATTATCCAAATAGAAGACTTTCAGTATTTAGGGTCAGTAATGAAAAAGGAAGGTGATATAACTAGTAGGATAGGCGCGGGTTGGACAAAATGGAGGCAAGCTAGAGGCGCAAAGTGTTGGACTTTAAAAAAGAAGTAGGAACAACAAATTCATGTAGCGGAAAGGAGGATGTTAAGATGGATGATACGAATGACTAGAAAAGATAAAGTTACAAACAAAAGTGTAAGGGAGAAACTAGGTGTAGCACCTATTATTGACAAGATTAGAGACTTAGGTAGTATGGACATATACATAGAAGACATATAGATGCACGGGTAACAAGAGGAAGGACAATTTTCATAGAGGTTAGGAGGCAAAGAGGGTGTCCAAAATTAACATGGAATGAAATTATTAGAAATGACTATAAAATTAGAGAAGAGATGGCTTGTAATAGAAAAGAATGGAAAAAGAGAATGAATGTGGTTGAACCCATTCATTTGGGATTAAGGCAAGAATAATGATGATGATGAATGAGCCTGGAATAAAGGAAAAGACATTACATGATATATATGAAGCTATGTTACATGGATTGTGGTTGGGGTATCTGGTGCGCTAGGAAGCACGGACAAACCTAAAAGGGCAAAGAATCCGTGTCGGACACGGACACGTGCCTGACATGCCAAAAAAACGTGTCTTAATTTTTTTTTTATTTTATTTTGAATATTTGGATATGGTGCGGACACGCTATATATATTCGGACACGGCGTGAATTTTTTATTTATTTTATTTATTTATTATTATTTTTTATAAGTATAGCACTTGGGGATTGTAAGAAAGTTTTAGAAAGAAATCTAGGTTGAAGTGTAATTATGAGGAGTTGTTTAATAGTTTTTAATAATAGGATGGTCATTTTATAATTTATTTATTTATTTATTATTATTTTTTTTTAATTGGTACTCACACATACATGCCTCCACCGAGGCTCGAACCCTTGACCTCCCTTTTAGGAAGTAGGAGCCTGCTATCGCTAGGCTACTGCCCCTATTGGTGATGGTCATTATATAATTACTTAAAGGTTGTTGTTTTATAAAACAATTTTATATTAAACAATAAGATATTTATGCTTATGTTTAGCTCAAAGGTTCGAACTCTTGCATATTTATGTTTCTTTGTTTTCTCCTCTTTCTTAACCACCCTCTTTCTATCATTATCCCTTTTCACCGGCAAAACACAATTTTTTTATTTTTATTTTTCCATTATTAGGTTGATTAAAAATAGTATTACTCTTAATTTCTCAAAGTACAACATATATATATAAATATATATATTATTATTAGCCGTGTCCCCACCGTGTCTGTGTCTTAATTTTTAGGATTTGTCGTGTTCGTGTCATGTCATTTCCATGTCCGTGCTTCTTAGCCCAGCTGTGTGTCTAAGTGTCAATCTCTCTCAATCTTAGATTTTAGGGCATAGTGACCTGGCTTGAAATATGGTCAAAACTTGGATTGGGTACATAAACATGTCTTGCATAATTAACTGCATAATATGCTATATAATAAATAATGTTGTTATTCTTTGAATATATACTTAATTATAATTTAAATTAAATTAAATTTGGTGAAAGAAATAGGGATTCCATCTATCACAAAAGCAAGAAACCTTGACCCTGTTTGGCAACTGTTTTCGTTTTGTATTTTTCAATTTCTTACAAAACAAAAGCAATGTTTTTGTTGTGTTATGATTTATTCTGAAACAGAAACATATATGGCAACTAAATTTGTTGCACAATGTTTCAAAGCCAAAAAAACAAAAAAGAGAAAAAAAAAAAAAAAAAAAAAAAAAGAAAAAAGAAAAAGATATTTTGATGATTTTAAAAAAGTATGGCATTTACATTAAATTGGTTTTTTTTAAAAAAAAATATTTCTGCAATTATTTAACTACAATAGCAAAAGCAAGTGAAAACATCTTTTTCTTACTTCCAGATTTGGACCTTTTTATGAAGCAGATGGCAAAAAGGTACATAACAAATGTTACCAAACATGCTTTCACCATTTGTTGTCGTGTTTTCTTTTTTACCGATTTGGCAACAAAAACACAGCAAAAACGGTTGCCACCCCTTTACTATCAATTTTGAAGATTCTTTTCCATCATCACATGTAGAGGATCTAGATTTCTGGTTCGGAATACGTATGTAAGACACATATGTTATACTCATCCCCAAATCTTGCTGTGTCAACAAGGATACTTTGTGGGGAATAAGAGAGTCCATGTAACACATATATGATGCACTTGCTAAATTGAAAGGTAGAGTTTCTTTCATGATCTACCTTGTGCTCCACCATCCATTAATTTGAGAAATTTTCAATATCAACATTGGAAACATCTTTATAAAATATTTTGAGTGATGTGCAAGCTCCAGGTTAAAGCAGAAACTGACCCCAAACCTTATCATAAAATATTTTGTTGATAAGCTCTTGATGGATCACCATAAAATTTGGTCCTAACTCGGGTCAGTGTTGGAAATGCCATTTGTTGTACTCTTGTTTTTTGCTATTTGAATTTTGGGTCAGTGTTGGTCCAGCCTCTACAAGGTCCTACCTCACTGGTCCTGCTGTGCAGGGTGCTAGCATTTATAGAGCAGATCACTAGATTTGGTGATCCGCTTTTGAACTTCTTCCCACTCCCAGAGCTTGGATCGAAATGTTATTGATATTACCGATTTGATTCTTGTTCTCCTGTTGAATTGCCCATTCAATGAGCATTCTCAAATAGGATTCAAACCTGCTCAATAATTTTACCGATCCTGTTATGAAAATAACTATAAGTGCGCTTGTTCATAGTTTTATTGTCCAATAACCAATTTGGTCTCAATGTAAGGAATAACCTGTTACATCAAAATATGTAGTCATCAATATAGCCAGAAATACGCCTTTACCCTCGCCAATTCACGAGATACACATGAAATACATGCAGAATCATCATTAGAACCATCAGACTTGCTGATCATTGTTGATTGATCAGATTAACCAATCAAAATCAGCTTCAGGGAAAGACTTGAGACAGACCTAATCTTTTGCATTGCTTTTATACAAAAGATTACTCTCAATCTGAGGCTATATGATCTTAATTGCAAGCTTTCCAGGTCTTCTATATGAATGGTAATGGAGCCTCAACCCTTTACACGAAATCATTAAAACGCTAGGACAAATATTTTGGGCTCTTAAAACCAGCTCCCAGTGATGGAACGGTTGTTATCTGATAAGGGAACAGAACAAGATATGATTAAGTTTTGATCTTGACATTCCAATGCTGTGTGATTGCATAAAGATGTTAAATAGGTGGATTTTGATACCAGTCTAAATCATTTTGTGAAGCCCATACTACTCCCAGATTTACGTGTAGGAATATAAAGGCAGGCGGCCTGTGGCCTGCCAAGCCATAGGCTGGTAGATGGAGCCCAAACTGATGAATGATAACTGGGCTTGAGTGTCACTGAAGACCACCATGTCCATACTCACCCCATATTCTAGGAACATTATGACAACACATGGCACCTTGGGGTCCAACAATTCAATTCCTGGTTCTATTTTAGTGTAAAATTGCAACTTACCTGGTGTATAGACTTTAGTACATCAGCATGGACTCTCAACTAGTCCCTTTCATTGAGTACATATGGGGTCCTTGTGGCCTGGAAGGGAATCTAATATCATTTGGCTGACATGAACTTCATATTGCAACAATTTAAAAAGTTAAATCAAAATCAACCAAGTCACTGACTCACTTGAATGGTACTCCTATATACAGCATGGAGTTATGGGTTTTACTTCATAGAACCTGACCAAAGTGATAATTTCCACTGTAAAAAAAAATGTAGGTAATCATTTTTTGGATAGGGCATCTCTTGTTAGTGAGTCCTCTGGTCCTCGTCAGTTGGGCATGCTTGTAGCAGCTGTTTAACCTTTACCTGAACTCTCTCCTTTCATTGCAGTCATTTTTTTCATTGCCATCCACAACATATCTTCATTTGAGAGGCACTCATATTCTCACCACAAAATATTCGTAAAAAATCAGAGATTTTGGATGTCTTTACAAATTTACAATGCTAGGCTAGCCTAATGCACGAGGCTTCTGCCATTGCAGAGTTTGGGGAGGGTCAGATGTATGTGGCACTCAAATGTCTGTACTCTACATGTCAGGTTAATTTGTTTGAGGTCACATGTAATTTAAAAGTCCAATGCATTAAGATTTAGTTACATGTAAGAAAGATGCATTGTTATTGTCCTTGTAAGTACTTGACCTATCTTACCCTTACTTATACTTGTAGGTTAGTTCTACAATATTTGGGAATAAAATTTGCAGCTTCTTGTAAACCTGGAATTCTCCTTCTTGTCGCCTAACTCATTTTCATGAGTCCACAAGAGGGAACATGACTGCACCTAAACCATTGTTATGGTTATGATTCAAAATTTTGTGGTGTTCGATCTGGATCTTCCCTTATATATATATATATATATAATTTTTAAAATTCCAAACAGATCATAAAATCGCAAGCTTTGAATGGTAGACAGTAGGCACTGGCACATTCTTTGAGTGTCATACCGTACCTAAGGATTGTTGTTATGCCTACATACTGTGGCAGAGAAAAGTAGAAAAATGAACCAACCCTAAAGTGTTAAAAGGAGTTCAGAGCTGGGGTTACTGATTCATTGAGACTTTTGACCAATGTTCACTAATTTTTTTGGATTTGGAGTAATTGAGAA